GATGCCATTTTGCTCGATAATACACATTTAAAGTACATTAAAGTTATTTCTGCCACTACAATACAAGGAGGTGTTTGCTCGGTGTGTGCAGAAAACATCGACGCTAATCTACTGTGCAAGTATAGAACAGCGCCCCCCAAACGAACTAGACAGCAGTGTATGACTACATGTCCATGGTGTAATCTAGGCTTAACACAGGCCTTATGTGGACCTGAGGTGTCTTTATACGTGAAACTCACATATAGCAGCTATTTTTCAGACGGTTTTCATCAATTAATCCATCAGTTGACTTACAGAAAATGAATCTGCAGCAATTTCAAGCAGCTGAACATTTCAATTTCATAAAAGGCCAAACATTCACCAGAGTGGCAGCAGGGATGTGAATGCTTTCTATTCTAGTTCTATAGCAAACTCAGTGTCAAGGTTTTGAACTGTCATCAGACAAAACAGGAACATTTGATGGACATTATTCCGTCTTTACTGGTGACTTTAAGCAAAATGTGAACTGAGAAATGGAGAAAATCGTCTGCAGCGGTTACAATAACTGTTAGTTGCCACCCTGATAAATTCACGTTTTAGTGCTTTTAGCAAAGAAGTATATAAAGTTTAAGCATTTTCCTTCTTAAATCTTGCTCCTGGAAGGCTTCATGCATGGACGCTCACAGAAAATATGAACTGTAACAGCAGGAATAATGTCAGGACTGTTTGGAGGACTATCTTCAGTGTCTTGTCAGGGTTTCTAAAGGTGGGTCGGGGGCAGCGCTTCTCATTTGATTTTGTTTTAAGTTCCTAATGCAGACCTCCTGACTTAGGAGAGTCTTTGTGCTTTAATTTAGAACATAATAGTTTGAAAAAGAAAGAAAAGATGCAGGAAGACCTTACAGAGTCCACACAGATGGCCTTTGAGATCCAGTAGATGCATCATCTTTCATTCCTTGTCTTTGCCTCGATACACCCACTGTCAACATACGTCAAACCTCTTTTACGTTTGTTTGCAGTGCATCATGATATATGTAGGCACTAGGAGGGGCAACGAGTTAACAGAGCTCTCAAACAGCCTGAAGTGTCAGAAAGGAGAAGGAAAGTTACGCAGTTCACTCCATTGAATGAAGTCGTTCGTTTACACACTGCGTGAAGGTCGTGAGCAGCCAACACCCATCCTGGCTTATTAATGGCAAAAAGAGATTCTCACTGGAGTTTAGAGAAGCAGAGTCATCCCTTGTTTTCTGTCACAGGCTGTAAATTCAGCTCTTTAACAACTTCCTCACGTCAACTTCTCCCCACTGATTCATATCCCGCGTCTCGTCCTCCTCCTCCTCCACTCACTTTAATTTTCTCTTATCTTTGTCAAAAAAAAAAAAGAAATGTGCCTCCCAATCTCCTCAGCTATTATTTGCCTCTTTTGTATTCATTCTGATCTCACAGTCGAGTTAGAGAAACATCGTCGGGACAGCTTCTCCGTAGTTTTTCATGACATGTTGACCCAGGAATTCAAATGTATTGCGATCAGTACAAATGCAAAATCGCTCCCGTCACAAAGTGCAACTGGCACTACAGCTCACTGAAATGTGTGAACGACGGCATCGTTTTCAGTCATACGCCTGCTGTTTATTATTTATGAAGTGTTGCTTTACTCACAGGAGCAGACTGCACACACATTTCATTTATACAGTGACAAAAGGTACGTCTCATTTCTGTATTTTGAGCCTCCTTGTCTCCTCAGAAATCAATCTTGGCAGACTTAATCATTACAGAAGGATGTTTGAATTCCTAAAATGCTTCTTGAGGAGAGAGGAGGCGGTGAGCGAGGATTCCCGGGTGTCGCCTTTTGCACAAGCCATTTTGGCAACGTGCAAAAGAGTCGTGACGCACAGCTGGCAGGAGCAGGACTCCGACGCAATCCTAATATTTGTCATTCTTTGTTTGTACGGCCTCCTTTGTGTCACACCTCCTTCATGTTTCACGGCACGCGTGTGTCAATTTTTTTTTGCATCACGCTGTGCCACGTTGTAAATTAAACAATGAGTAAATACGCGCTGCAAGTTGTCGTGAGCACAGTTTTTGCTGATCTGACAGAGATCATGAAACACAGCAGCTGGCTGTAACAAAACCACGGACAGATGAAGCAGATGTGTCACACGTCTGTTGTTAAATCGATGCTTTAAATCAACAGCTCCGAGGCGAGGGCGTCTTGTTTGGTTAAACACCTGTCGCCTCTCCTCTGTTCACTTCTAAAGAAGGACAACCGAAGACAGAAGCCACACCTGCATACACATATTGTGCAATAATCTGAATGTGTATTCTGTGTATAAACATGCACGTACACAATGCAAAAAAAGATTCATACACATCTCATTTTCTTTATCACAAGTATAGTTATTGCAACGTCCTCCCTGACTTGTTTCCTTGCACATCAGAATTTGTCAGATAAGGATAAATTAATTGTGTTTTGTTTTTATAAACAATAACACCACCATATCCAGCTAAATAATATACAGTCCCGTCACAAATTATAACTTCAGTAGTCAGGACTGTAATCAAAATAGTAGTTTGAGAAATTACAGATATATTTACGGGCTCTTAACTATTCTGTCAAGTGAAAATTAAAGTTGATTTTGAACAATTATGTTGCATCTTCTCTGCTGTTCCCGTATACAAGATGCTGCTTTCCTGCATAAATAAACGCCACTAACGTCTACATGCGTCGTGTTTGTTGTCCCGCAGCACCTGAACAAGACCTACAACACAGACGTCCCCCTGGTTCTCATGAACTCCTTCAACACAGATGAAGACACAAAGAAAATTCTGCAGAAGTACACACACCACCGGGTCAAGATACACACCTTTAACCAGAGCAGGTGAGATGACACCATAACAACACAGTAGTAACAGTGCAAACACTTCCTGATACGGCTGAATAACAATACCAAGTATCTGTCAGACATTAAACGGAAAGAAGATCTGGAGATAACATCCAAGATCCAAGGAAGTGCACATGTGAGAGCTCAAAGCCGTCCTGATCAGTAGTGGCAGATTTTTCATACACTTTCACGACCAGTTAGCAGCGTTGAACCTTCAGAATGAACTCAGCTTCCTTTAATAACAAACTGCTTCTGATTCTGCACTCAAACTGTCAAGAACAGCGGCATCCAGACAGGAAGTGTCATGTAATGTATGGAAAGGGCTATTAATATTTAATGCCTCGGTGTCTCCAGTTTGTCAGTCAAATGGAACTTGCTTTTTACTGTTTCCCTTGAATTATTTAGAGCGCTCGTATGTTGGGTGCAGCTCTACGAGTGTAGCACAAAGCATTCTGGGACAGCAGCCTGGTAGCTTAATGTCAGCGGAGGGAAAGTGGTTGAACAGTTTAAAATGCCAATCAATAGGAGAACAAAGGGAGGTCTGTGGTCCAGGTCGTGACAGTAATTCATAAAAGACAAATTAAATTCAGCTTCTGTGTGGCGCTATCTCACGTTCCAGTTAAATCCAGAAATTGCTCACTTTAATTATTATTTTTTTTAGCTAAATAAAACTCCCTGGTTACCTGCTCAAGCAACGAGCAGAATAAATAACCTGCAATCAAAGGTTTGTTATTGTTTGAAATGTTTTTTTTTTCTTTCTCTAGACAAACTCCTGCAAAGAGCTGGAAAACTAAATTAACTGTAAATGCAAATGCAGCTGCATATAGCTAATAAGTCTGGTCTGGTCTGCGTGTTGGGTACAAAACAATCGAGTACTGCAAATGGCATTCACATTTTTGGGAATATTAAAGTACACGGTGCTTGTATGAGCTCCCTGTCATTATAAACCAGTCACTCTATTTTCCTAAACACAAAGTGCAATCATCTGCTCATCACTCGGTATTGTTGTGTTAACGTCTGATTAACTACTTTAAGGTGACATTTAAACGAGTTCCAAAAAGTTCCAACAACTTCCTCGCAGCAGTGAAAATTAAAACAATATACGTGTCTGTGCACACAAACGCGTGTGTGTGTGTTTTGCTAAAGCTTACAATAAGCTCAAGGTCTGTCTTAAAACAACAGTCAGGTGCTCGTATGATCACCGCGTGCCGTAGTTGTTCCTTCTGAAGAGGCTGTTTCCAAATGAGTTCCTATGTAAGCAGTTGGAGACCTAATCCACCATCTCTCTCTTTCTCTTTATTATTAATCTTTATTTTTTTCTGGCTGCTATAACAAGTAAACTTAACCGGTGAGAGATCAATGAAGTTTATATTATGTTAAGTTATGATAAGGAAACACAAACCAGTAGAAGAAGAAAAAAAATAAATGCTGCTATGTAGATGTTTATTAATCCCAATAAAGATGTTTGGTTTTAGTCTGGTTAATTAGTTAATTAGGGTACATCACTGCCCTAAAAGGTGGCACCAAAAAACTAACCAAAAAGCCCAGAAGCTGATTTGAACAAGGCAGGTTTCAAAACATTTTCAAGGAATTAATTCATCACGTTTGCATCCCTTAATTATGCATAGAGAGAACTGCAGCCTCACAACGGAAACTTAACAACCGATGAGCATCAGTCACACTCAAGACGAGGAATAAGTCAAGGCTGGGATCAGTTAATAAGTCAATCCAAGTGAAGGAATCCAGGTGATTCTTTGATAAGACAAAAAAACATAACTGTCCTTCCTGAAGGAGAAGCGCTGGATCCAGGGAAAGAGGAACATTTTTGCAAAAGCAGTAATAACAAAATGTTCCCAGATTCTGGCCTGAGATGACATAAAACCTTTGAAGCCTATGAGCTCATATCAAAACCACTCATCTGAAACATCTTCCAAGAACAGTCGACTGGACTTAATCCTCCCTTAAAAAGGCCTCAGCAGCTCCTCTCACCTGACCAGCTCGTCCGCTCTCTGAAATATCCTCAAACTGCCAAAAACACAGCCGGCTGCCGCTCAGCGCAGCTCCTCACCGGGAGGTTTGTTAACTCAACCTGACGCCGATCCTTCTTAGAAACCCTTTGATCAGTCTAATACACACAGCGATGGAGGCTCGGACTCCTCGGCTTGTTGCCTCATCTGCCTTCTTGGAAAAACCTAAAAAGTTTACTTTCCTGATGGGGATGTGTTTGAAGTCTGGGCAGAGATATGAAAAGATGAGATTCACCAGGCAGCTGGCGTGTTTTACTGCGTCCGTGGCTTTACCTCTGATGTGGAGCAAGAGAGATTTCACACTTTTTGTTTACTCTCTGTGCTGTTTATCTACTTAACAGTCCGAGATTCATTCTGTAGCTCAAGGCTGAAATACATAATTCAATAATCTGCTTTTTTTTCTTTTACAACTACATACCTATTTGTTAAATAAAAAAAACATAGATCTGATACAAACAGAAAGGGAGAATATGACTCCGGATGGTATTAAAAACAAATTGTTCTATTTATTTATCACAAGTATTCATGGCCTCTGTCACCAAATTCTAAATCAAACATTGTTTTAAAGCTGCAATAATCCATATTTCTGTCATCATATTTTAATAAAAGGTCAAAGTGAGTAAAAACTGCAGCTCCCTTTAGCTTTATGTAGCATTTTAGCATCTTTCAGCTCATTATTTTGGTCTTGAATTGAATTGAATCCTCTTTAAACGTAGATTAAAGTCAGTGCTGCTGATCTACGCCTTTAAATCTCAATTTAACCTCTCATCTTTGTTTTTGTTTTTTTTAAGCTAATAGCTAAAATGGTTCAGGCTAAATCCGATGGATTAAAGACAAGGTTTGATTGAGCTCAGCAGAAAGTCATCAGATTATTTTATTTAAACTGTGCAGCACAAATGGGATAAAATTAAGTCTGGTTTTAATATTCTAAACTAAACACTTGTAAATTCCTACGTAACCTCTGATCTTTGGTTTAAGCTAATAGTCGGGGTGGCTCAACTAAACGTGTCGGATTAAGGGTAAGGTTTCACTGAGCTCAGCAGAAACACAGTCAGTCGTCACAATTATTCATTTCAGCTGTGCAAGACCAGTGGGTTGAACTCACACCTTGTTTTACTACTTTAAAAGGAATTAAGGTAAACTATGATGAAGCCCTGGTGATGCACCTTCAGGCTGTTGTGTCACAATACAATGAATATGATTCGTAAGAGTCTAAATCACAGTCATCGTCCAACTCAGTGTTTGTTTATAAAGCAATATTCCCAATAAGTCAACTACAAATAAGCGAGAACTGTGGCATATCTTATTGTGGGCTCTTCCCCTCTGTCCAGGTACCCTCGCATCAACAAAGAGTCCCTCCTTCCAGTGTCCACAAACTTGAGCATGTCTGGGCAGAACTCGGAGGGCTGGTACCCTCCCGGTCACGGCGACATCTACGCCAGCTTCTACAACTCGGGCCTGCTGGACCAGCTGGTCGCGCAGGGCAAAGAGTACATCTTTGTGTCCAACATCGACAACCTGGGGGCCACCGTCGACCTCCACATCCTGCACCACCTGGTCAGCCAGCCCAACGGCAAACGCTGCGAGTTCGTCATGGAGGTGACGGACAAGACGCGTGCCGACGTGAAGGTACGTGGAGGAGGAAGACTTTGTCAAGTCCTTACATGCATGAGGTTGTACAGCGTTATTTTGCAGAAGATCTCTCTCCAGATGTAACCAAACCAAATCAGAGTATTCTTCCTTTATCACATCCAGTAAAAAAAAAAAAAAAAAGATCGAGGAAATGTGTTTGATTTCTCATTTTCTCCGTGTAGCATCAAGTATTATATTTTTCTTTACTTCCAAGACATCTGGTCTCTGACATTTCTACTCTCATCCCAATACAAAAACGCAGTTTAAATTGCAGTAATCAAATAGATCAAATCACATTTGGGAAACAGCGACTCGTCTCTCCACAAACTGTTTCCGATGCTGTCGTTAGAAGTGCTTTTACTAAACATAGCTTCAGCTGTTTTATGGCCGGACATCACTACTGTTTATCAGGAGAATCTGATTTTGTGTAATTAGGTTAACTGGCCCTTTAATTTCTCTCTGGAAATCCAAACGGAGGTAAAATGACATTACGTATTCTCTCAGTGATCAATGTGCAGCATGATGCTTCTCAGTCCGTCCTAGTTTACGGGCTACTGAACTTGTCAGAGTCCATATTTAAGGACTTCAAACTTTCAGTCTCATTATCACTGTTTTTTTTAAACTGTGAGGAGCTGGCTTGTATTTTCTGTGGTGGTTATATAACTTACTTTACAGTGTACTCAGGCTAAATAGCAACAGGATTGTTTTTTTTTGCTGCATATCGAGCAGAGTGGAAAAACACCAACCATTACTACGCCAAAGAACCACTTTTAGTCATTATTTAGTCATTATCATTATTAAAAATGCATTCTGAAATCATGGAAAGTTCCTCCAGAGAAACAAGGCCAGTTATTCACACACAAAGAATGCGTAGTGAAAACATCAACTGTGATTTCCAGGGCGGCACGCTGATCCAGTACGAAGGGAAGCTGCGTCTGCTGGAGATCGCCCAGGTGCCCAAAGCCCACGTGGACGAGTTCAAATCGGTTTCCAAGTTCAAGATCTTCAACACCAACAACCTGTGGATCTCCCTGGCTGCTATCAAGAGGCTGCAGGAGCAGAAGGCCATGGACTTGGAGATCATAGTCAACCCCAAGGTGAGTAAAGAGAAGAACAAAAGTGCACTCATTTGAGGCACTTTAAACACCCAGTTACTCACTATACAGGGAACAATGGTTCAGTATCCACAGACTCAATCAGTAAAAACAACAGAACAAACTACAATAAAAAAGCAGAATAAACGGAGAAAGATTGATGATCGCAGCCTGTCTCGGGGTCCTGCTCAGTTTCCCTGCATGACGTAAACTCTCATTTTTATGATAATGTGAAATACGACTAAGATGTAATAAGTAGATTGTCTCCTAATTTTCCAGTCGAATTAGCATTTAAAATCTGGTACGTAGGGGATTAATTAAACGAGCACTTTGTAATGTTTGCTGAGCGGTGGCAACAGAGGCCTCTTGGTGCATAAGATTCTGCTGGGAAACACAACCCATCAGCCTCGTAGACCAAAAAAAACCAACAAAATCATCACCTCGAGGCAATTTTACTGCCCAAAGCGACTTAGTGTTCTGTGTGCTCGAGCAGAATAAGATTGTGGTATTCACCCTCCTAAATTTCACTGAATCACAGGTCAGCGTATCGTCAGAATGATTCAGAGCCTGGCGCTTTAAGGTGAAATAGTTTCTTTATGATGCCCATAAAGACGGTTTGGGTAGAAGTTTTCTGAGAATGTTTTGGCGTAAGAAGTAAAAATAAAGACAGAGGTCATGTTCCAAATTCTTTTCCTTTCGCTACGTTCTGCAGCTGCTCTTGAAATTATGCGTCCAGAGGATTGTGGGTCAGAATGGCCAGAAGAAAACGCTGGCTTGCATACTGGAAAATGTAGCAGGACATCCTGGTATTTTTGGCATCCTACATTTGATGTGTCAGTGTTTTTCTGGTGTGCTATACAGCATGTAAGCGTATTTGAGTGTCGCCGATGATGAGCAAAGGATGATCAGTGAAGGATTTGCTCGTAGATTAGAGGTAATGACCCAGACACAGTTCATGGAGCGCTCAATTCTACTTTACTGATCACCTCTTAGCATGCAGGAATAATGTGTGTAGTTCTACATGCAGCTACCATCTCCAGCGTCGGTGTGAATGTGATTAAATATCCGTGAATCCAGGAAAAATAGCGCTCGCGTAACTCCAGAACTTGCCACGTTTCAGGCTTTTTTCGGTGTCAAATTAAACTTGCTGATGTGCAAACAGATCCGGATTGAACCGCGGTGATCAAGTTGTAGCTCACAGCTAAGTCACCGACTCCACGGCAACGTTATACTTCCCCGTTTACATCCCAAAGCCCCCAAACAGTGGGAAACGTTGTCAACAGTGTACGACAGCACAAGCTCAGTCGCAGGAACTGTGTGTGAATTTTGCTGTGGTTTGTATGTTTCTCCTCCTTCCTTCCCTTCAAATAAATAATGGAGGCCGTCCAAGTAAAGCGACTCGCTAATGTCCTAATAGTCCGCCGGCCGATTCAAAGAGGGGCCGAGTGAGACGCAACCAGACAACCTCCCAGAATAATATCAGCTGTCCGGCTTAACCACACCCATCCTGTAGCATTAGAAGGCATAACTGAGTAAAGTGGAGCAGGGAGAGATCTGCACTACTCTCCCCTTCAGAGACCATCACTCCTGAATAAATCATATCTCTAAAAAAGAAAAAAAAAGAAGACGAAGCAGCAGCTCACCGAGAAAACTCACATCTTAAAGCTTCTCTGCTCTCTGCCACATTTCAGCTCAACTGTCTGTCGTCACGTGACAGTTTTTTGCATACAAAAGGAGCTTCAAACCAGTTTTCTGCTCACCTCTGCGGCGGCTCATCTGACCTACTTGGACTCCGGCGTCGACAAAGAGGTGTTTGTGAATGGGAGAGACAAATAAGTGTTTTTATTTCTCTCACAAACACTTTAATTTGTAAATGCCACATTTGCAACTTTAAAGCTGTACTCACTGAGCTCGTCTGTCCGGCTCTCACGGACACGTTTGCATTAAATTAAATTCCACGCACACATATTTTTTTTAATAAAACGAGGCAGCAACATTTGACTGATTGAATAAACATGAAGGAAAGGTTTGATTAAACGCTTAATCGGTTAATTCAATCTTGTTGCGCGATTTGCTGGAGCGTAATTTTAATGCTCCGCGTCTTTCCTGCACATTTGTCCTTTCACTCCCCTCCAAAGCTCCCTGTTGACGGAGCGGCAAACAAATTTAACTTAATTTGACTTCATGTTATTTTGGCTGGGCTCACTCAGAGGCACAGCGAGCCTCTGCTGCCCCCTCAGCGGAGAAACGCCGCCTCGGGGTATGCAAATCTGCAACCAGCGTAATAAATTCACTGCTGAACTCCAGCCTCGTTCCTGATTATTGCTTTCTTGGCCTATAGATGCAGATGTAATTTTCCATCCTTGGGCTACAGGATCTCACACTGTGACAAAGCCGAGTGTTATGCAACTGGCTATAACTGCGCAGCGCCGTGTGGCTTTACATAAGTGTGTGGTCCCATCTAGGTAAGAGTGCAGCACTAAAACCGCACAGTTAGAGGGGTCGGCTCCCGTTATAGCCCCAAACATGCTGAAACTGTGAGCTCTCCTGGTACTGAGAGGCACTTAAGACAAAAGCGCCCATCAAGTGGGAAACGTTACGCAAGTCCTTCTGATAGATACACCGAGTCTCAGGTCATTATATCTGCACACGTTGTTACATCACCGCTGTCCTGCCAAACCTTTCACAGTCTAATTTTAGTTCGTCTCATTCACCTCTGTTGTTTTAAGGAACCTCATCAAGTGCAGCCACGTTAGCAGCTCTGTGACGCAGCAGGGCTTTGAGCTTCATGCTAACATGCTCATCATGAGAAGGTTAACAAAAGAGAGGGGTGACACTTAGCGAGTGCATCCTAGTTTGGTTTGTTAGCAAGCTATTGTTTGCTTTTTAGGATGAAAAACAAAGGGTACATGAGGCTTAAAGGAACTGTCGTTAGTTTTTTATGTAGTGGATCATTAACTAGAAGATTGCACTAGTGGAAAGTTTTACTGTCAGGATTCATCGCACGGAGGCCACGACCGGATTTCACAGCAGTCCATCCAAGTCATGACGTTTCAGTCTTGACCAATTTTTCAGCTACTGACCCAAATATTCAGCTGCTTACATTCAAGTCAAGCATGTGTTTGTGTGAGATGAACAACCGACATGTCTTCCCTCTTCTTTGGTTCGTCATCAGACTCTCGACGGCGGGCAGAACGTCGTCCAGCTGGAGACGGCGGTCGGCGCGGCCATCAAATGCTTCGACAACGCTCTGGGGATAAACGTTCCTCGCAGCCGGTTCCTTCCCGTGAAGACCACGTCGGACCTGCTGCTGGTCATGTCCAACCTGTACAGCCTGGACGCCGGTTCTCTCACCATGAGCCCCAAGAGAGAGTTCCCAACGACGCCACACGTCAAGCTGGGCAGCTCCTTCACCAAGGTAGTCATGTAGGCCGATGGCGTTACGGTCCATCCAGAGAACGAGAACGTGTAAACAAAACTCTTTCTCTATCAAAATACGATTTCTTTTCAAATTTATGTCCAATCCGAGTCCAGTCTTGAGGACACAATTTAAAAAATAGTGTTTAGAGGCTTCCAGTTCCTGATTCTCTATTGATGTTAAATAATTACACAATCCTAAAAGGTTACACTTCTAGGGCCTCAAAATTTAATTCTCCAGATGTCAGGACAATTTCTTCTGGTCAATAATTCATTTTGCTAAAGGATCTACTGCACTGAGACGACCTAAACTGATTCTACGTCCTCGGCTGTTCACAGATTTACTCTTTCTGTCCGTTGTTGTTCAGGTCCAGGAGTACTTGACCCGCTTTGAGAGCATCCCCGACATGCTGGAGCTCGACCACCTGACAGTGTCCGGAGACGTCACCTTTGGCAAAAACGTGTCTCTCAAGGTGAACGTCTAAACTGAAACCTTCACTTGTGTTTCATAAAACGACATGTGAAATATAATTGTGTTTTAAAAGGTTACAAGGCCTCAGACTGCACTACACAAATGAAACTTGCATTTGCTGTAAGTGTTCAGAGGTCTCTTGGGCTGAGCGTGGTAACCTAGAAAGACCACTGCATTATTTATTCTGTCGCCCACGCTGATGGCTCAAATGTGGATGTTAAAAAGGCTGCACACCTCCAGTTATGTCTGACTTTCAGCCTTTCTGGTGTCCAAACTCATTGATGTAGTGGAGATGACGTGCATGGAGAGATAAATTTCTCCGTCCTTCAGCTCACGCTGTTTGAAAGAAACTGGTCCTGGTGGCGGTTGTCTTTTGATTTACTGCTTTAATTAAATCCTGGTGTGAGAATGTTCTTCTGGCAACATTTCTGTTTCCAATAAACAAAAACTAAACCCGTCATTCTTCCCCCTCGCAGGGCACCGTCATCATCATCGCCAACCACGGAGATCGGATTGATATTCCAGCCGGCTCAATGCTGGAAAACAAAATCGTATCCGGCAACCTCCGCATCCTGGACCACTGAGGCCTTTTTCACCCTCCCTCCCCCCACCGTGCACCCTTATCATGTGACCCAGTTGGCTTTATCCCAGTCATGTGACCAGTTTTTCATGTTTACCCGACACCAACAGATTGTGAGAGGAAGTGACTTTCCCCCGGAAGGCTGTGTGTGATTGCATGTGCAGTGCTACTCTGCAGTCTCAGCGTTAGGAAGTGGTCTAAGCGCTGCTGGCTGGTTGGGAGTAGCTGGGATGTGCTGCCCTCTACAGGCTGTTTGTCATATAACCTTCAAAAGTATTGATACTGAGCTTGTCATAGCTGCCACGTTAAACAAATCTTTATCAACATGAGAGTGAAAAACAACTAATTAGATTTTGTTTCTATTCTTTTTCTTCACTGTAGAGATTTTGACTTTTGTTGGCCAGAAAATAAAACCTGCCAAAGTAGACCTAAAGTAGACAATAATAACATGAATAATATAAATAGGGATACTAATGGGACTAGACTTTAAAGAACAAATAAAATGATCTTATTGTGGCCATTTTCAGCACTGCTAATGCAATCACATCGTGTACTAACATAGAGAGGTACAGTCATGGAAGTTTGGGACGTTTATTTCAAGCACAAAGACGTCACTGCTGGACTTGGTTCCACAGTTCAGGTACGAAAAAATTAGTTCTGTAATATAATACGCAAATATATTTTGATCATTTATACATTATCCGCTGTATATATCTGAGGCTGGAGTCCAACACAGCTCACAGGTTGCTTCTCTAGCGAAAAACCTACAAAATGCAGACACATCGAATATCCACACAAAAATACTGAAGCCTTCACATGAGCCACCGTATCGCCGTGTGGAAATAATGAAACAGAAAATGATTAACTTGTAAAATAATTCCTAAATTGGTCATGTACCTCAGCTTATCTTACTGTCTCTTGACGAACACGTAAGATCTGTGTAAAGAGGAGAGGATATTCAAACATAAATTATTTTGAGATTTCACTGGCTCTCCTTTAGTATCACCTGTAACGGTTCAACAGCATCCAACTTGCGAGTTTGCATCACCAGCTGTAATACTGGTGTTAATCTTAGTGGATGGACACATTTACTACAATTTGCGATAAATTTGGATGAAAACTTGACAGACATCTGACTGTTTCATGATTCTAATCAGAGGAACAAAGAGCCAAAAGACACTGAAATCCTCAGTAGAGATGAGGTTAGTTAATGATTCTCTGTTGAAGTTTCACTCTGAGCCACATCTTCCACATACAAGTAGTCATTAGATGTATTAATGTAGAAATATTAAGAAGTACGGCTTTGGGTTAAAAGTCAAAGCAGGACAGCAACAGTACGTTATGAATTTGTGGAACCATGAATCCTCAAGTGAAGTTAGTGCTCACAACTGATTTGGTAACTTCCCTCTATAGCGATGAAAACTGTGACAGGATACTTGTACTGCATATATTCACACCTCCAGTGTCCAAACTAACCCGGCCTTGACGAGAAAAGGAGTCTGTGCCATAGAGGAGAACATTTTACCCACGTGATGCCTGAACAAGCTGTCTCTTTGTTCTGCCGCTGAGCTATTCATGATGTTACCGGATGACGACTGTAAGGATCTATATCCAGGCACGATTACTATGCCATGAAATTCTATGTAAGTCAAAGTATATCATTTTAAACTGAAGGCCTTTATTTGTCCCCGTGTGATGAAGATGATGAAAAACATCACAATGTCGTGCATTACTTTTTGTTTGTGTCCAGTATGTTTGCTCACTTTCTCACCGTCATGTTGTATGAAACCTGCAGGCGTCTCCCGTCTGTCCATCTCGTCATATCCAGCGTTGTTTCTCCGCACAAAGCAGGAGGTGCACACACACACACACACACACACACACACACACACACACATACCCGGAAAGAGAGACTCACATTCATTGACAGAACATGTACACAAAGTTTCAGCGTGAGAATACTTGAGATGGGTCCGACTCGTGTGGACCGGGAGCCTGAAAGCAATAAGTGTTGATCTGTGACAGTGACGAGGTCTCAGCCCAGCGCAGTTCTGCCTCCTCAGAGCTGAATAAAGTGCAATATGAAATACTGAGCATGTGTCGTCTGTTCATTGATTACTACATCCAAACCCGTGACAATAAGTTCTATACTGTGTCTGAACAATTTACATAGAAAACCAGAGGGACAACATGACAACATCCCAGATTAGAACAGAAACCACAAAGCTATATTTATACTTCATAAAAATATGAACACAACATGCAGTATTTTTTTAATTCATGAGGTAGTGAATGCAAATGTTTTCCCACTTCTCCTGAAGGGCTTGACTAAGCTGGTGGACATTGTGGAGGACACAATAACCTAATGCTGTCTGAACCAGTTTCTTAGATGACAAACAGTGGCGTTATGGACATTCAAGCGCCTGGCTACAGCACTAAAAAACATGCCCGTCATCTGTGAGGTCTTGTCATTAGTATAAAGCTGCATTTATTTGTCTGTGTACTGGTCACACATCTTCTCATTGTCATTTAAAGCCACACCTGACTGGTGTGTGGACTACCTCAATGGTCAAGAGTGCATCATCACTA